TTAATTGAAAGTAAATAGATTTTTTATTAGTTCATTTTCATTGTAAAGAGAAAAACACATCAGCCCCATTTCCTCTCCCACGGCAGAATTCATTTTTGTCTAAAATCAATCTATTTGATTTTTCTTCTTTGATCTTAAAGCTAAAGAGGGTCTAGCAAATCCCTCTTTAGTTCTTTGTGATTGTCTTCGTGTGGACTACGTCGGTTCGATCCTACACTTGGNCAAATTACCTAGGGCTTGGACAGGTGTGCAGCCCTCAATCACTCATAGACAAAACCTGAATCTGTCAAGTTGGTGACAACCATATTCTTTCTTTCATAGAGCGACGTGGCAGCTCTTAAACGATGCAAAGCCTTCCGGAACTCTGATTGCTTGCTGATGTAGGCCAACGTCAGGCCTGATTTTTTAGGCATAACATTATTAAACATAAATATGAGATACACTAAACAAACGAAATTATGATGATTCATCTGAAAATCTAAGATGAGGATGTCAATTCAGGCAAAGAAGAATTTGAAAATATGTTGTTACCTGCAAAGAAAGTAACTGGTGAGATATCCCTGATGGCCATTGTTCCATAGATGAGGTATTCATGCAATGAAATGACCAAGCGCGTAGAAGAATGATAGAAAAGTAGCTAGCGTGTAGAAAGGTTTTTCTTCCATGTTAAATGCACAAAGAAAGCAAAAGTGTGCTTGTGAGCAAAGTCCAAATACCAAATGTCTTTCGTGTACAGATATTGTGACTCGTTTTCTCATTTGTTGCCGTGTAAAAGTCTATATCTTTATAAAAACTATTTAATAAATAATACAATTGTAATTAGGAATAGAATTATGTGAGTGCTATTAAGAATTAAAATATGAATCTTATTAAAAACAAAATGTCTCATATACTTGCTAAGGGTAAGAACCAATTCAAGGATATGAGAGAATGTGAGAACACAAGGTATTTGATGTAAGGTTATTAAACACGTAGAGTGTCTTAAAAACTGGAATTATTTCTATTGTTCCCACTCTAGGTATCGGGTTAAGAGTGGTTAGCAACTAAGATTGTTAATCTAGTTTCCGGTCTATTAATTATGTATTGGGTTTGTGGTGTTATATACTCTTCTATATGGTGTTCATAAAATTATAGAGAATTTTTCTCTTTCATGGATATAAACGAGTTATATTACTTTATCTTTATGCCCTGTAGTGTGCGCGGCATAGGCTTTCGCCCATTTTCGCGTTTTAGCGTGACCTACAAGCGTCTTTGGTGGCGACACCACCTTGTTGGAATTGGGTGGTACGACCTGATCTAAACAATCTAGCCTTCAACTAACCGTTTGGAGAGTATTATTGAACCTCTCCAAGTAACTCATCACAGCAGGATCAAGTTAAGAGGTCGGGGGAATATCCTCATTGTTGGTGCTAGTTCGCTTGGTTTCAAGATCACGAGCCATTTGTTCGTGAGTAAAACTGATTGATCAAAGATTCTTGATGAAGAGCGGATACTAAATATGCCCTTCTTCTAGCGCCAAACTATTAATGTGTGATTTTCACACCAACGACTCACACATGCAAAGTGTTAAGCTGCTCTTAGAAATTACACATGAATGATTGTGATAATCGAATGCAAAGACTAAATGATGAATGAGAGATGGTTTTTAAAGTGACTTAGATGGTTAAAGCAAATCCTACGCCCACTGTTTCTTTTATATGTGAGAGATTACAAGAGGTCGCATATAGTGAACAGTGGGTAAAGGTACAATAATTGAGTATTCAAAGAGAATATCAAGTTAGTCTCTTTCTCATAGGTTATCTTTGCTTCGAAAATAAAGATTAAAATCAAAATGAAGGTTCAGAATCAGAATCCCGAAAATGATAGGGGTAAACCTATATTTATAATAGAGGAATTCAAGGTAATGATTACAAATCTGCAAATAGGTAGGTGTCGTGCAAGTCCTTCCTTGCCTCACATTGGTTGGTAACTTAGGAAATATCCTCAAATTACCTAGGGCTTGGACAGGTGTGCAGCCCTCAATCACTCATAGACAAAACCTGAATCTGTCAAGTTGGTGACAACCATATTCTTTCTTTCATAGAGCGACGTGGCAGCTCTTAAACGATGCAAAGCCTTCCGGAACTCTGATTGCTTGCTGATGTAGGCCAACGTCAGGCCTGATTTTTTAGGCATAACATTATTAAACATAAATATGAGATACACTAAACAAACGAAATTATGATGATTCATCTGAAAATCTAAGATGAGGATGTCAATTCAGGCAAAGAAGAATTTGAAAATATGTTGTTACCTGCAAAGAAAGTAACTGGTGAGATATCCCTGATGGCCCTTGTTCCATAGATGAGGTATTCATGCAATGAAATGACCAAGCGCGTAGAAGAATGATAGAAAAGTAGCTATCGTGTAGAAAGGTTTTTCTTCCATGTTAAATGCACAAAGAAAGCAAAAGTGTGCTTGTGAGCAAAGTCCAAATACCAAATGTCTTTCGTGTACAGATATTGTGACTCGTTTTCTCATTTGTTGCCGTGTAAAAGTCTATATCTTTATAAAAACTATTTAATAAAGAATACAATTGTAATTAGGAATAGAATTATGTGAGTGCTATTAAGAATTAAAATATGAATCTTATTAAAAACAAAATGTCTCATATACTTGCTAAGGGTAAGAACCAATTTAAGGATATGAGAGAATGTGAGAACACAAGGTATTTGATGTAAGGTTATTAAACACGTAGAGTGTCTTAAAAACGGGAATATTTCTGTTGTTCCCGCTCTAGGTACGGGTTAAGAGTGGTTAGCAACTAAGAGTTAATCTAGTTTCCGGTCTATTAAATAGTATTGGGTTTGTGGTGTTATATACCTTATATGTGTTCATAAAATTATAGAGAATTTTTCTCTTCATGGATATAAACGAGTTATGTTAAACCACGTAAATATTGTGTTTCTTATATAGTGTGATTTTATTTATTTGTTAATCTCAAATGTATGTTTTTCATTGTACAATCTTCTAACACTTTCGTTGAACATCACTAACTACATAAAAAAGGTGAAAAATAAAAGTTAACCCCGAATAAATAAAATAAATAAAAAATCTGAAAACTTTTTAAAGCAGGCAAATTATGGGGGTTACTTGGTGATTTGGAATTAGGGATGGGTGTTGCCCTGGCTCGGCGAAGATCCAGCCTGACCTGGCTCGAAAGGAGCGAGAATCCCGAAATATTGGGGATAAAGTCGGGGATGGTCCTTGTAAAAATCTTAGCCCATCAACTCCGCCCCGCCTTCTTTTGTGAGATTTTTTTTTTCTTGCGAGATTGTATATAAAGTTAGAGTTTAAATCATAGTTTTAAGTAATGTATCAAATTATGATATTTACTTTATAATACTTTTAATGTTTGTATTAATTTATAGAAAAAATAATTTGAACGAGGGAATCAATAATTAAATATATGTATTATTACTTTGTGAATTCACAAAATAATAATACATAACCCAAAATAAATTTGATTAGATTATTACAATTTAACAAACCATATAAGAATATACACAATTGTTTAACGACTTTTAAATTACACAAATTCATATCAATGTAATTAATTAATTGATCAATTAAATATGATATTAAATTTAATCAATGTTGAGAACTTGGGATAATGAGATTAGTCCCTTTCACGAATTGACATTTTATTAGTTGTAGTGGAGATAGTGTTTTATGAATTAATTCATCAATGTAACTAGTAAATTATGTTAAGATTGAATTTAATTATCTTAATTTTGTGAAAAATTAATTAATTAATAGGGTTAACTAAGTCTAAGCCTCCATACAATTGAATAATTAATCAATTTATCTAATAAATTATGTTAAAATTAGATATAGATATATTTATTTTACGAAAAATTAATTAACTAACAGGGTTGATTAAGCCCAATCGGCTAAGCCTTCATACAATTAAATAAGTAATCAGTTTACCTAATAAATTATGTTAAGATTGAATTTAGTTATATTAATTTTATGAAAAATTAATTAATTAACAGGGTTAACTAACTTAGTAACAATTAAATTAATTTATGATGGTAGTTATGTATTGTTTTTTAACTCTTATTTAAATTTTACAAGAAATTGTTAATTTTATATTTTCTTAACTTAAATTCTACATTTTTAATGAATTAATTACTGAAATTAAACAATCAAATTGTTAAATATAGTACCTACCAACATGCTAGTTTCTCACAATTAAAATAATTACAATAATTTAACATTATTGTCATAAGAACATGCGAAAAGTTTTCATCCCTACGAGGCTAAAATCCGCGCATAAAAAATTCCCCATTTGGGAATAAATCCCTGTGGGGGAAATTTCCCTGTGAGGCCCTGTTCATTGGGCTAGGACGGAACAGGGATGGGAGTGATTCCATCTCCACGGCCTAGGAACGGTCATGAAAGTTTTCCCCGCCAGTGGGAACGGGCTTGGGACAAGAACGGGGAACTGGGTCCCCAACGCCAACCTGGCCGGTGCCCATCCCTATTTGGAATAGGCCCATCTGCAAAGAGTCCGGATGTTGAAGAAACCGAACCAAAAGAAGCTAACCGAAGTAGGCCAAATAATATTAACCACCATCCCAGTAGTAGATTTTTTTTTTTTTTTTTTATCCATTTGATTCTGTCAAAAGATGAGAAACTATAGATTATATGTAGAGAAAATTCAAGATAAGTCACATCAAATTATATTAATTATAATTGTAACGGCAAGAAGCGACTTTTAGTGTTCGTCTTTTGGAAGAAGTCCACCATTGCCTCATGGTTTATTATATTCCTCCATCTCTTTACCTACTACAAGCAAATACCGACCACATCAATTATGTTTAATTATAATATCAGATTATCCCTTTAATTATCGTCCTGAAAATGCATCATTGCTTCTCTTGCCAGATCAAAAACAGAATAACAAGTTAATAACTGGAGCTGACCAATCAACAGTACAGATTAATAATACTTCGATAATTGAATTAGCTGTTCCCAAATTTCCATTTCTGGTAGGAGAATTACAGTTATAGTTTCACTGCATAATTCTTTTGACAGTTAATCTGACAGGAATTTACTAATACTTGAGTCGAATCCATAAAAATGAATCCCCACTTCAACATAGGATTCTCATATCACAACCTAACAACACAAACTCCAATTAATAATATAAACAAATTTCTTCCAAAAAAAGGCCTGCCTGTTTTATCATTTCTCACTTTACAAAATAATCAGATCTCAAAAACAATCCAGCTCAAAAACTGCTGTTACCCTTGTTAGTTAATAATTTATCTACCAAAAGAATCCAACACCTAACTAGGCACTAACTTCCCTACGCAAAACGACATCCCAATCCCACATTAAACTACACACTGCTGACTCTGCTGTCTCAACTCCTTCCTTAGTTTCTGAGAAAACAGCCTGCATGCATCCATGCTCAGATCCATCGCCGCCGCCAGTGCCACGAATGCAGCAGCATCCTCCGTGCATGTCACGTGCTGCACCCCTACCTCCACCTCCGGTTTACTACTCTTCCCCACCGTCGATGACATCACGAAACCCTTGTATATCGACTGAGGCGGCAAGAAACAGAACGAGAAATCGGATCCTGAACCGGATCCTGACCATGACCCGGACCCGAAGTCGATACTACTATGTGGGCTTGTCACTGGGGTTGCACAGAGACTTGTAGTCCTGTCGATTATGAATTTACCGCCTTTTGTACAACTGAGAGTTGAGTTGGCGACGGTTGTGGAGGCGGAGGTCGTGGTGGCGGCGTCTTGGAAGATATCAAATTTGTATCCGAGGGCGTCGGAGCATCCGGGTTCCCGCCAGGCCTCCAGACGGCCCCAGGGTTTCCAGGTGCAGTTACCGGGGCGAAGAATAAGCCAGGCACCGGGGTTGGATCGGCTAACCCGGTCCGACCCGGGGGACGGAACGAACGGTGTCACCATTGACGCCATTGCAACAGGTGAACCTGAAAGGTCGTGGACTGTGATCGACCATCCTTTTCTCTCTTTTGAAGATTGATCCTTTTCGCCTCCGAATGTCGGCAGCCAGTTCCTTGGAGAGCTCGGTTCGTTCATTGATGATCTGCATTAATGGTTTAAAAAGTTGAACGTTAAGTGATGTTCAAAGCAGTTCATTAATGAAACGAAAAGCAAAACTGAATCTTTAGATTGATTTTCACATTTTTAGTAATTAACGGTTTCAACATTCAATTAATTAGTTTAAACAGAAAACTGAAGAGACTGACCTAGAAACCAAGTTTCTGTCGCCACCGGAGATTCTGAACCCGAACTTGCAAGTGAAGACGGCCTGTTTTACACTTCCTTGAACCTGGAAAACTTGTGGACTGCACTCCGGCTCACCGCCGAACTGAAAAACAAATCTCGGATCAGGTTCAGCTTTAACAGTCAAATACAATTCCGGGGACGATGATTTCTTGTTCCCTCCGATAGCCATCCACCGGTTGTGGAGGGTGGAAACCTTAGCGTCAGCTCCACGTAGATCCAGAGGCACCGAAACCCGCCCCAACAGTTTGTGCCCAGTCACACACGACGCACTGGAACCGCCGGAATACACATCAATCATCAAAGTAGAGCTTTTCGACGACCCTTTATTCTTCTGAAGAAGCTTTTCAATCTGAGACTTGTTAAAACTAAAACAAGCGGCGAGAGAGTTTGACAGAGAAGAAACGTTGGGTTCTTGTGTTGAGTTTTGCTGTTGGATCAAAGGGATTTGAGCATCCTGATCGGGGAAGTTCTTCAACTTGATCCTACAATAACAATCCGACGATGAGGAGGACTTAGATGAAACAAGAAATTTCAAAGCTAAGTTGCCTACAAGAATCCGCACAAACGGGCACGGATCCATAACTATTGGATTAATCTTGTTTGATGAGAAACAGTGAAGTGGAGATGAGAAGAGTAAGATTGAGGAGAAGAATGAAGAGGGAAATGGTTTTAAAAGAGTTAAGAGGGAAGGGAATAGTTAGAATAAAAGAGAAAGGAAGTGGGGGAAAGTAGGAGAAATAGATACGAAGAAGGAAACAGGCTGTCAAATAGCTGGTGTGTGATATCCATGAGTATTACTGTCATGAGGTCGGTATCATTACTATTCTATGTGTCTTCCTTTCCTATTAAGGAATCTCCCTATCTTATCAAAAAAATCAATATTTATTTCTTAGTGTACTTGTAAATTAAAAATTTGCTAAAACCAATTTATAATTGTAACTATAAAATTATTTATAGCCTAACTTAACTAATAGTGTGGTGGCATTAAACTACAACATATAACATAACCACTAATTATGATGATAATTAGATTATGTATTCAATTTTAAATAAAGTATTAATCATAATGACTAAATATAGTATATATCAATAAACTTTACAACTGTACTTAAATCCATTAAAAATTATATTACACATCATGTTACTTGGCAGTGTTATTATTTTTATTTTTTTTATGACTAGGACTGCTCGGGTCATTTTGTGTATACCTCAAATAATCTCCTAAGATTATAAAACTATCGGTCAGGTAAGAACTTCAGAGGCCACTCCTAATAGAGGTTGTGAAGACTCAAACTTGGAAGACTATATTAGATCGTTTACTTAGAAGAGCATATTAGATTTTTCACTTGCTCTTTTACCATTACGGGGATTCAAACTTGAGAGACCATTTTAGATCTTCTTTTTGCTCTTTTAACATCAGATCCACCCAGTGATAGTTCAGTGTTATATCATTCACAACTCATTGCTTACTGGCCAAGTAAGACCTCTTGTGACCACCCAGTGTTATATCAATCACAAATCATTGCTTACTGGCTAGATAAGAGTTCTAGTGACTATCTCTATTAAGTAGTTGTGAGTCGGGAGACCATGTTAGATTTTTTTCTTGCTCTTTTACATCATGGGACTCGAACTTAGAAGATTATGTTAGATCCTCCTCGTAAAAGACAATGTTAGATCTCCTTCTTGCTTTTTTACCCTTAAGGGAGCTCAAACTTAAGAAACTATATTAGATCTCCTTTTACTCTTTTACCATCAGAACACCGAGTGGTGATTCAATGTATATCATTCACAAATCATTGGTTCATTACGTATGTGTTGATTTTTTTTTTTTTTTTTTTTTTTTTTTTTTTGAGAAAAATGTGCTGTAAACTGTAGTTATAATATAAAATTTTAAGATTGTATTTTATTTAAATATTTCATTTCAGAATCCGATGATGATGGTGTGTGTGGCCGGTGCTCATATAGATGTTATATCGAGCGAGGGAGAATGGATTGTAGGATAGGGATATAGGAATATCCACATGCAATGGATGCTGAAAGGAAGATAATGCATGCTGGCACACAATGCGACGTACACAAGATGCCAACCAGGAGCATCAATGTCAAAAAATATTCCAACTCTTTGTCCCTTCTTCTTCTCTTATTCCATTTTTTTATTTTTCATCTCCTTGCCGTCTTCCCATCCATAAATTCTATTATATAACTTCTTTTACTATAAATCTTAATATTATAAAGTCATATTGAGATTATATTTCATAAAGTGTGAGTCATTTGAAAATAAAAAATTCCTCCACAATATCAAAAATCCTTTTATAAATATCAAACACCTTTTATCAAAATTATCAGAAACTTTATATGGAACTACCCTCTTGAAATATCAAATATTTTTACAAAAATATCAAAAACCCGTAATAAGGGAGTATTCAATATTTTTTTTTTTCAAAACATCACTGATAGCCAGATGATAAAAAAAAAAAAAAAAAATATTTCATGAACTCTTACGTTCAAGCCTTTTACTACTGTTAATAAGGGTAGTTATTAAAACTTTTTTTAGACAATAGTTTTAGAGCTTCAGAGATTAGTTGAAGTACGTACAAACTAACTTAAACACCTCAGTGATAAATAAAAAAAAAAAAATTGAACAAAACAGATACTCTTCACAATTAATTAAACTTGTTAATGTTGACCAAACTCTCAAAATTTAAGTTTATTGACAAAACGAAGAATAAAATATTGTAGTAATAAATTTATGAGTGCAAAATTATTTTAAAATTTGAAAATAAAATTAAGATATAAAAAAATGGAAGACTAATGTGGAAGTTGAAAAATGGACAAAGAAATAGAAAGTGAATTAAGTAATGTCTGACCAATTATTGATATAAACAGATGGATAGAGTGACAGATTTTGATGATGATGTGAAGAATGGCCACCAACAAATAAATTATTAAATAAAAGAAAGAAAAAGGGTTTAAGGGAAAGTAGTTAACGTAGTCATAGGCAGAGGAAATACAGACAATGAGACGAATGGGAGAGAGCGGGTCACAACTGGTGCACAGCTGTGGCCACTGAGACGCTGGTTGGATTATGGGGGATTGACCAGGAAGTGGACCCTGACAGATATGGGTCCTACTTTACAACTTCATTTTACCAATCACGTCTTTGGGAAATCTGAGATTCACACTTTTATATTAACTCTTTTTCCTTCTATACTTACACGTGCATCATTCAAACCCAATGCTCCAGCCCCTGGTTTTTTTCACCCCCAATCTATCACAAAATAACTATTTTCCCCCTCGATTTCAGAGCACTCAATATTACTCTCATTTTTCGATTTTAGGCATTAAAACTTAATCATGAAAGGGTAATGTTGTGCATGATTTTTCAACGGCCATATTTATGCCTACTATCCATACATCATACCGAGATCTAACAGTCAAAACCGTTTCACGTGTCGCTTCAACAACATATGACTTCACAAACAAGTTCGTTAGTATTAAGTATAGACATTGACGACGCTAACTCATATCCAGATTATAGGAGATTATGTGTGTAATCCACCCTATAACCCAACAACCACTGTCAGACAGTGTGTATAAAAAGAAGGCACCACCTCGATTTTGGAAGATTGATTATCATACAAGCAGAGGAAACCACTTAGAAAGAGAGTTTTAGCTCGTTATTACATGTTATCGTCTTGTAATCACCTTGTATGTAAAGCAAATACTAAACAATAATATAACAGCAGACATAGGCTCGGTTTTAACATGTCGAACCACTTTAAAAATCTATTTTGTTTTCACGTTGTGGATTCTCCAATCTATCCATAGTTTGTTAATTTTGATCACGTACACATCTTACCCAATTCTACTGAGATCGGCTGAGTATCTCTCATTTTTGCAAGTTTTCATAACAACAGATAACATTATCAATTCATGATGCTAGATTGGGTTTCCAACCTCCCTAATGTTGTTATATATGTGAGGTGATTAATAAGATTTCCCTTTCAAGGTTAAGTTATATCGTCTTAAATGCAAAAAAGAGAGTAATATTTGGTGTTTCTGAACCAAGGGGGAAACTTTTTCTTATACAATAGATTGGGGATCAAAATGTCACTATAAAAAAAATGCATTTTGGTAATTAATTAATTAAATTTTTAATTTCTGAAAATACCTAAAAAAGATTATTATTTTTTAATTATTAATCATAAATCATATTACATTTCAAATGTAACAATATTGAAAGCTACTTCGTCAATATTTTAGATTGGGAATTTTTGAACAATAATATTTGGTGGAGTGAGCAACCGGACAAACCCGACCTTATTGGGTTTGAATCCTTTGCCCTACTCTTAAAAATTGTCAACCTAAATACTGAAAGACGTAACCAGAAATTTTAGTTCGAGTGTTAATATGAGAAAGTGTCATTGGAAAACATATATATATATGCTAATGTGATCAAATGAGAAACTTTACCTCTCAAAATGTATAATCTATAAACAAAAACAAAAATATATATAATATTAATAAAAATTCTAATTTAATGAAGTTGTAGTCTGTAATAGTTTATATTATAAGGATATTTTAGCAATTTATATCTATTAGATCTCAAAATGATATTATTTTTCTTTTGCAAACCCTTTTTGTAAGAATAAAATATTCTATTTTCGATACCATCAGGCCATCAAGAAGACTATTCAATTGTCTACTCAGTGTGCACTTGTCATTCCAATTCCCATTAAAGGTTTAAGATATTCTTTAGCTTTATAATTAAATGCATTGAGAATTTATACCCAGTTAACCAATTGGGCTTATAATTGGCGCTCAACCAATACTTAGTCTTTACAAAATGTGAGACGCTTGTCCACCATAAATTGGAACCTTATACTAAATACTATCTATTTATACTCCCTAAATGGTTGGTAATTTTAAACTATGTTAAAATTGGAATCTTACTTTTATTTTATTTTAAACTACGTTAAAAATTTTAAATTTTGTTATTAAGATAAAATATTTCAATATCTATAAAAATAGCTTGAAATTTAAAGCCCGCGAGATTTTTCGCAGGCCTTTATCCTGCGGACTGGACTGGACTGACTAAGAGGAGGGAAGGAATTCTTTAAAAGGGGCTCACTATATGGCCTATATCACATACCTCCCTTGAGGTTTCAGAAAATCCATCTCCCACTAATTGTTACAGAAATACTCACTACCTCCCCTAGGTTTCCCATTTCCTCATTAACCTCCCTCGACCGGTTTGTAACAGAGAAGTTGGACAAAAAAATGACTACTAATGTGAGATGATATGATTATCAAAGAGATTTAGATGTAAGATATTTTATCGTAATCTAGACGGAAATAAAGAATATAATATTCTAAACTATAAACCAGGAATCAAGAATTACCCTAGCCATTGAAACAAACTCACGAGCAGTATTTTTTATCTGTAATCTAGACGGAAATACAAAGAATATAATATTCTTAAACTATAAATCAGAATCAAGAATTACCTCCAGCCATTGAAACAAACTCAAGAGCAGTATTTTGGATCTTCTAAGCTCTCAAGACACTCTATGATGTGTATTTTTCTGTATATTCGTGTTCTTGAGCTTAGGGACCAAAATAAATTATCATAA